CCCTCGGTGTCGCCCCCGTGCCTCGCTCAGCCAGTGAGCGGGAACCGGTCTGTATGTGGGTTCCGAACCCTCGGCGGGAGCGCCACCACGCTTCCCAAGCGGCGCACTATAGCAGTGCACCACCGGGCCGGCCCAAAATTTACTTGTTGATGGTTGATCCTGGGTTTTATCAAGGAGACTTTGAAAAGTTCCTATTTATATGACTAAGTTTAAATCCTAGCTAAGGGGTTTTAATTCTCTTCAGACTCCCATCTATGGAAATGAAACAAAAGGTTAACAACAAAAAACTACCACAAAAACTATTTCATACAACAAATGGTAACTTATTTACTACCATTAAAGTTTATTGAATGGCTGCTATGTTTACAGACACTTCTTTGCTTGGAAAGGAAAAATCTTTAGAAAAGTTAAAGTAACCATTCAGTTCCTAAATGTCTTGTATCTCATGATGAATAAGAGGTCGATATGTTAACTTGGCTTCCTCCAAAATAGAGCCTGAGACAAGGACTTAAAGGGAAGGGATTTATTTGAGAGTGTTCTCAGAAAAAAGTAGTAAGGGAGTAGGGAGGTTGAGAGAAAGGCATAGAAGAAAAGCCAAAATAAATGCGTTATTGAGGTCAATGTAGTGAACAACTGGGGATTCCTCTACGGTATTTAAAGAAGATGTAAAACTGTGCTATCTAGCCTAAGTTACTAGAAATGATTGGAATATAATCAAATAATAAAAAAGAATATTTTCTTTGAAAATACGAAACATCTATAAAACTAAATATAAACTGATGATGAAAAATAAAAAAGAAAATGCAAGTTGTAAATACCAGAAACAAAAAAGAGGGTGTTCAGATTTTTGAACCATTAAAAGTATAAAAAGAAAATAATATGATCAATTTATGTCAACACATTTGACATGGCAGATAAAACTGGCAAATATTTTGAAAGATACAAATTTCCAAACCTATTATAGAAAGAAACAGAATGCTGAATTGCCCTATATCTATGTTTAAAATTTAATTTTGATGACAAAATACCCCACAAAAATAAAAAAAAATAAATTAAATAAAAAAAATTTTTTAAAAGTACCTAGTTTTTTTCATAATTATCTCCTGAAAAATAGGATGTTGAGACATTTATCCATGAGAACTCACCGATCAGTTCACTGTTTCTGTGTCTACCACAATCTATAACTATTGAGTAAGAAAAATGTGAGCAACTGGGTTGGCAGGTGGTGGTGGCGGGGCACTGGGGTACACATTGCAGCAATTCTGAGCCTTGAGAGGTAGATTAAAAAATAAAATGTAACATTTTACAATAGATTGCATGTGGTGTTTTGTACAAACTAATGCTGTGATGGCTGAAGGAATAATTTTTATAAATTCCTATTCACTTTCTACATTTAGCCCAGCACAAGTTTCTGCTAATTCCTCTCCTTTCTCTACTCTGACAGGCTCACTTCTTTTCTATATCCTAACCTTAGAAATCACAAAGAAAGAACTAGAGACAGAAGTTTTGGTTTTAATATTCTTGATTTATTTTTCATATTCTTTTACTATACACCTAAGGAAAAAAATAGTTATTACATCTCTCAACTTTTCAGTATTTTTACTTATGAACTGATTGGATGGTTTTTTAGGGTCCCTTTTAGGCCCCAAATTGGTCATGATTTGCATTAAGCATTATAATTTATTATATAGTAATAAAATCAGGGTTTTAGGTTGGATCAAGACCTCCAAAATTAGAATCAATTTAAGCACCTTCATTTCTTCTGGTGAGGAAATTGGTATATACAAAAGTTAAGTCAATTTTTCCCATATCACAGAGTTAGTGGTAGAGCCAAGACTAGAAATGAAGTTTTTCACTTTTAATTACGTTGGTAAATTAGACAAAAATTTATCTTTTTAGATGGTGAAATAAATGGGAAATGCTGTCTCTATGTAAAGTTCCTAGTATATTAAGGACAGGGCAAAGGAGCTTTTGTTTTGACTAAATAGTCCTCAAAGCAACTGTGTAGAACTTAGACCAACAAATAATGTTTCTAGGAAGAATATTCTATCACTGACATTGTTTAGAATTGTGGGCACGTGGCTATTATTGTTTTTAAATTCTCTGTAGACAATGTATGACAGTGAGGATGACTCCCACTACCCTGTCACTGGTATGCCACAAGTGGACAGTAAACTAAAAATGTTCATTAAATTCCAATACAATGTATTGGGAGTTTAATTGTTGCTAATTATTAGATGAGACATAGGCCGAAGAACTTTGATGATGGAGTGAAGGTGGGCTTTGAGCATGTGCCCAGCCTCTGTTATTCAGTGAATTTTTTCTCCAGAGACATTCAAGTTCATTTTTTGGCTTAGTCATAAGAATATCCAAATATGAGAAAATAAATATATGTTTTTCACAAACTTGTCATCTTACATATTCTAACACTATGTCAAATGTGTTCTTGGAATTGAATAATTAAATGTGATTTTTCTGAAAAATCTTTGATCTCTGTTGACTTGTTTGATATTTGTTACTTTGTTTATAAAAGCACAACGTGGAAGTCAAATGATTCAATTTAGCAGAATACTCACTCTGCTAGCAAGCAAACTGTGCCCAAGGTAAATCCACGCTGAAGTTTACAGAGGTTACACTCTACCAATGAGAGCCTAGAGAGAAGTACAAGAGGGCTGATTGGGTGGTGCAGGGTAAGCCGGATACACAAAAGGCAGTGGTAGAACATCTGGGAAGCCCAGTAATATCACCCATCTAGAGTGAAACCTCTGTGCTTCTCAGACTGCTTTTGCACCATGAGTGGGTGTACATTTTTAGGAAACAACCTGGGGTGAGTATTTACCTCTATTCTAAGTGGGGTTAGGCTCTTGGAAGTGTCAATTATGAACATTTTAATTGCTGTATTTAGAAAGTATCGGAAACTGTCACCTTTTATTTAATAATATACTCTACACAAACTGAGCAATAAGCAAATATTAATCACAAATATTATTAAACTATGTTTTCTCAAACTCTATTTTTTTCTTCTAATTTATTAAATCTGTAGATATGCTTTTAAAAAACTGTCTGTAGAAGGCAGTGAAAAAGACAAATCACAAACCGGTGTGAATAGAGCCAGCAAAGGAGGACTGATCTATGGGAACTACCTGCACGTAAGTCGCAGGGTCTTTACAGGGTTTAGCTTGCATTGCGAAGCACTAAATTCTGCTCAGTGACATTTTCATGTTTTCTTTTGTTTTTCTCAGTCAACAGTAGCTTTCTGGACCTGAGGATATCCATACTAATACAAATTTATGATATTAAAACTTTCTTTAAAACAATTCATGAGTCTCAGGTGAAAATTCTCGGCTCCGGCAGAGGTAGTACAGTAAAATCAAAGGATCCAGAATCTGGGCAGAAGATTATAAATAAGAATCAGTGTAGATTACTGGCAGGCATTGCACAATTTGTATAAATATGACACGGTCAATAAACCAGCCTATATGTAAATGCACCTCAAATAACTTCTTTTTTAAGGCCCTTATCATAAAGTAGAACTGTTAAAGAGACACTGTGAATTTTCTTGAAATCATAAGTCAATAAAAGAGAGATATTAACAAATGAGATTTTCTGAGATTATTCTGGGCTAAATTTACGCCTGTTTGTCTTCTTTTTTTTTTTCAAGAAGCAAGGAGATAAGCAAAATACTTTCATCGAGGGTTTCTAAGGACAAACTGATAATGTTGTGATCTTAGAATAGACTCTTTAGGGTCTTTAGGGGAATAAATGGCAGATGTGTACTCAGCCAAGCAAGTTTTCAAGCTTTTGTCATGTTTGTTTAATAAGATAGAAAGAATATGACTTCTCAAATATTATGATAGTACTTATGATAAAATCTTTCCAAAAATATTTTTTCCTGAGAAGAATAAAATTCAACTCACTCACTATGAGGAGACTCATTCATTGTTTAAAAGAAAACAGATTGGTTTCTGAGAATTGGGGACTTTGGGGGACCTTTTCCAGTATTGTATTCTACTTCTTAAAGTTGGTAAAAAAACAAGTTCTGCAATTTCAAAATCAATCTTTCTATTTTTCATTTAAAGTTGGAAAAAGTTTTAAATGCACAAGAACTTCAAAGTGAAATAAAAGGAAATAAAATCCATGATGAACATCTTTTTATCATAACTCATCAAGGTAAGTTGCACAAAGGGTTGAACGATAACTATTCCAAAGGCATTTCTCATCAATAATGAAGAAAGCAGCATTCTTTTAACCATGATGTGGTGAAAGATCAAGGAATTATCCTTCTTAGAAATGCTTGAGACTGTTTTACTGCCAAATAAATTTTCGTAGGACCCATTTCTGGAATTTATAACAGTTTTCTTTGTGTTACTTCACTGCTAACTGGGTCGAGTAAGATGTTAGCTTTGTCTTTAATTCCAAGGTGACTGGTCATCTCTTGGAATTTCACAAAGAATTTGCAAGCTAAGATGTTACTGTTTCTCAACTGGGAACACTAAAAAACTGTTTTCAAGAAATAGATCATTTAAATTTATTGTACATTTATGTAATCCTATAAAAATTTAGTACTAAACAAAAATGTAAATATTGTCTAAAATGTATGTCTATCTTCTCCAGATTTTTAACTTCTGGGTCGTGGTTTTTAGCCTATGAATCTATGACTTTAGAAGTTTAGAAGATCCCTGAACTCCAAAATTTTGTGCAAGTTTTCATGAATATGTACTTTAAAAAGGTCTGTGACCGCAAAATATTAAGAACATTTAAGGCTGTCAGTGCTGTAATACTGTCCTCTGGCTGACCAGGACCCAGTAGCTCATGCTGGTCAGTGCCCCTCATCTGGACATGTTCGCCTTTCCTACCAGAACTTTCTGTCCTTTCTTCAAATGGGCTCTTGCTTCACTGACTGGTTAAAATGATAAACTCCCTACAACTGAATTGATGTGTTACTTCTCCTGTTTTTATGTTTACATTTTTTTTTTTTTGTCTTTTTTTGTGTCCGGCAACGGACCGCAACCCTCAGTGTCGCGCCCGCACCGGACCGGGACTGGCAACGGGATCGCACCCCTCGGCGCTGCGCCCGCCCCTCGCTCAGCCAGTGAGCGGGAACCGGTCCGTATGTGGGATCCGAACCCTCGGTGGGAGCGCTGCCGCGCTTCCCAAACAGCGCACAGTAGCAGTGCGCCACCGGGCCGGCCCCTATGTTTACATTTTTATTGGTAGCTATACCAAGGCACAATCAATCAGAGAGTAATCATGGAATAGTAGCACCAATTAAGAATCTCATCTCAACCATTATGAATTGGGTGACCTTTGGTCAAGTCACTTAGGTCTCTGGACCTTCATTTCCTCATCTGTAAAATGGAGAGAATTATTGTATGTTTTCACTTACAGAGTTCTTGTGAAGATGGAATGAGATAATGTGCATGAATCAATTAGACCAAAGTATAGCACATACTTAGCATGCAACAAATGGAAGCTATCATTTGATAGAGACTCTTTCCTTCCATTCTTCAGTGACAGCATGTAGGCAGTGGGTCATAGGACTAGCTACCTAAGATTAAATCTGAAAAAGAAATGCATAAATGGATCACAAATATTTGATTTGCCCTTTGTCCAAATATGAAAATTAGATCCCCCAAAGTCTCCTTAAATGTAACTTAAAATTATACTTGGATTTCCCTAATCAGTACAGAAACATAGCCTTTATCCATATGGTAGAACCAAATAGAATGCACTAGAGTTCTCTAAGATTATTGACTTTCTGTGCTCATATAATTATTACGTGGGCTATTTAATTAACCCATTTATAAAGTAACCACCCAGTGTTTACCTCATACCAAACACTGTGCCAGGTACTGAGAGAAAATAGATGAAAATGACAAAGTTCTTAGTTTCTAGGGGCTTAAAATACTATGGGAAGGAAAGCTAATGAGGAGGACCATTTATGCTTGCCATGAATAGTCTAGTAACACAAAGGATTAAAAATATCTATCCATGTCTATCATAGTATTTAAATAGTCTTAAGATTTTGAATCATAGGCTTCCGCTTGAAGATGAGAAACTGTTAGACCATTTCACAAATGAGTGAAGTTAAGGAAAATTTTTTCACCCCAATTGACGTTGTTAGTAATTTCCGATGGGTTGATTCCAACTCTGATTCTTCCAATACGCCATGCTATATAACTTTTCTTTAATGGCAATTTTATTGTTTGATGGTCCCTTGTGAAAAGGGAAAGGAAACTCACAGTAGAGGGCCTTGCCAAAATCTTTCAACAGGAATGCTGTGGCAGAATTAGGTTTAAATAAATAGCCTTGGTCTCAAATGAATATTCTGAAAGAATTATACTGGATAATGCTCAATAATTTGCAATAGAGGTGCCCCTGGGAATTACTTGTGAGATAAAGTTTTGCCATTATTGTTTTACCACGAACATCTGGCCACTTTCCCATTTGTCCCGAGCCCATGAGTTGCTAGGTTTTCACAAATAAAAACATACAAACAAGTAAAACAGTGCATTTTAAGTTACTTAGCTTTAAAATTTTGAGATCTTAAAACCCCACATTTTTTCACTTATGTTAGTGAATGCTCATATTAATTTCTCAGTTTATAGTTAAAGTTGATTACCACTTCTGCTTCCCCACACACGTCCAGCTTCCATATAGGAAGTCAGAATTGGGTTATGTGTTCTAGTCTAAAAGACCTAAACAATTCATTCGTTGAGAGGAAACAGTGTAACAACAATAAACATAAAAGTGTATGGGTAATTGATGTACTAAAACATTCAGTGAAAAGTGGCTGTTGTAACTTTAACACTAATATTTATTTCTAGCATAAAACAGGACTATATTTACATTTATTGATTTTAATATTACATTTTTATTTTTCTTTCAGTATTTTAACCATGTCTTTCAATTATGATCAGAGAGGTTCCCATAACTTTCCAACTGACAATGATTTTCTTATTACAGCTTATGAACTCTGGTTTAAGCAAATCCTCTGGGAATTAGATTCTGTTCGAGAGCTCTTTCAGAATGGCCATGTAAGTTGTTATGTCACTATACTGGCTTTAAAACAGGGATAAAATTGATAGAAATGCGTTGTCGATTATAGTTTATTTTGCATCATCTAGAAATCAGAATTTTATTTAGAAATCAGTGCTTTATTTCTCAATCATCAGGTCAGAGATGAAAGGAATATGCTTAAGGTTGTTACTCGGATGCACCGAGTGGCAGTGATCCTTAAACTACTGGTACAGCAGTTTTCCATTCTGGATACAATGACAGCCTTGGACTTCAATGACTTCAGGTGTGTACCCGTGGCATTTTTAAAAACCGCAGTGGGGTTTACCTTCTCATTCTGGTGAGGTGAAAGGAGAATTGTGTGTTGTGTGACAGGAATCTGTTCTACTGACACTTTGTCACTATAAACACTTGGGGATCTTCAATAACAAAGTGTTTGAGAAGTTACTAAAAACATGTCATCTGAAAGGAGAATTGTGTGTTGTGTGACAGGAATCTGTTCTACTGACACTTTGTCACTATAAATACTTGGGGATCTTCAATAACAAAGTGTTTGAGAAGTTACTAAAAACATGTCATTACTCAATTTTGCATACAAACATAATACAATGATACTTCAGTATGTTCATGGAAAAATAGAATTAAAAATAATGTGAGTCTTTCCATGAGATTTTTGAAGATCCCTTGTATAATCAATTAATTTTAATTCATAGTTGAATGCCCTGTTTTTCTCTAAAACAGATTTTAGACAACTAAGTAAAATGGCTAAAATGACAATTTACGACAAGCCTAATGTCAATATCATGCTGAATGGGGAAAAACTAAAGGCTTTTCCCTTAAGAACAGGAACAAGACAAGGACACCCACTGTCACCACTCCTGTTTAACATAGTATTGGAAGTACTAGCCAGAGCAATCAGGCAAGGGAAAGAAATTAAGGGCATCCATATTGGACAAGATGAAGTCACACTATGCTTGCTTGCAGTTGACATGAGCCTATGTATTGAAAAACCTAAAGATTATCGATTAATAATTTCAGTAATATTGCAGGATATAAAATCAATGCCCCCAAATCAGTTGCATTTATATTCTCCAATAATGAACTAACATAAAGAGAAATCAAGAAAGTAAGCCCATCTACAATAGTCACCAAAAAAAACAATCCTAACATTCATATGGAACAACAAAAGACCCCAAATAGGCAAAGCAATCATGAGCAATAAGTAAATAAATAAATAAAGCTAGAGGCATAACTCTACCTGACCTCAGATTATACTACAAAGCTATAGTAACCAGAACAGCATGGTACTAGCATAAAAATAGGCACTAGGACCAATGGAACAAAGTAGAGAACTTAGAAGTCAACCCATGGACTTACAGTCAACTGATCTTTGACAAAGACACCAAGAACATAATTGGGGAAAAGACTGCCTCTTCAATAAATGGTGTTGGGAAAATTGGACATCCATATGCAGAAGAATAAAACTAGACCTGCATCTCTTACCATATACCAAAATCAACTCAAAATGAATTAAAGACTTACGTATGAGACCTGAAACTATAAAACTATAATGGAAAACATAGGGGAAACACTTCAGGAAATAGGATTGGGCGAAGACATTATGAGTTTGGGTGGTTTGTGGGGTGGGAGTAATAACATTTTTTAATTGTCTATGCAACATCCTATCTGCTTTACACCAGTAATAAGCAACACAACTGACACAGTAGTCAACAGTCTCCCAACAAAAAAATAAGCCCAGGACCAGATGGCTTCACAGCTTAATTCTACCAAATCATTAAAGAAGACTTAACACCAATCCTTTTCAAGCTATTCCAAAAAATTGAAAAACAGGCCATTCTGCTAAACTCATTCATGAGGCCCCCATCACCCTGATATTGAAATCAGACAGAGACACAACTTGTATTATCTCACTGGTGCTCATAATAATAGTTAGTAGTAAGATTAATGATAATATCCAAGTATATAGCTTGTATGAGGGATTAAATCATATGCATAATGAATCTTTTGGCACTGTGGATTAAAAAAATTGCCCAGTGTCCACTTGCCTTTAACTTAGAAAAAGATTAAATAGACACATATGCAATTACACACACACACGTGCACATATATATGCACATACACAAACACGTATACGTATATGCTATTGGTTCAAAATATACTTATGGTAAATGTATATAATACACATAATATATTATATTAAAATGTACATTACATATATTAAACATATATGAGGCTTCACAACTATACAAGCTTTCCAACTTCAAGTTTATTGGCAGCAACAATGTTGCTTAAGTAGCTCATTTTCCTTATTTCAAAAAGATGGCTTATAAAGATAGGGAAAGAAAGAATCACAAAGCTAATTTTAAAACTAAATATAGGTTAAATGAGAACCCACAGTGGTGCAAAATAGTTTTATTTCTAGATTAAAAAGTCTTGTGGAATCTTAAAACAATTGTGTGGTTATTTAATTACCAAGTTGCTAAGTATACCCCTGAATTCAGAAGAGATTATATTTTATACACGCCATCATTTCTCTAGCTCCTAAGACATAAGGTATTTGGGGAATAAACCAGCAGGCATCATTAAAACAATATTTAGATATGTTCATTGATTTCTGGAAAATAATTGGGATTTCTATAATAATGTATATCTTAAGAAATCAAGAATAAACATTATTAATGATGATTGCCCTAAAGATTAAGAAAATGAAATATATTAATTACTATTTTATAAATGAAGAAATTGAAAGGAAAGAAAGAATATTTACTAATAAAAATCTTGTAGCACAAATTTCTCAAAGCCTTAAAGATTTTGTGTTTCAAATTTATAAATGTTAGTTACAATGTATTTTACATATTTTAAATTTTACCATGTATTCACTTAAAAAAATAATATTTACTTAAAGGCATGGCTGGAAAGAACACCAGGTTTAGAGCTACATGGATTTAATTTCTGGGGAAAGTTTGAAAAAAATATCATCAAAGGCCTGGAAGAGGAATTTACAAGGATTCAGGTATTTATGATGCCAGAAGTTAATATAAATTTACTACAACAGAACTACTAGGAATTTCATTTTAACAATTTTTTACAGTCCTCTTAATCTTTCATTTTTCTTATATTCTTTTTCTTTCACAAATGTATTTTCTTTAAATATATTACCTTATTGATTTAATTTTCTTTATGTGCAATAAAAATTATACTAAATTAAGGCATTCATTGCAGGCAAGATTTTGTCTATGAAAAATAGCTGAGATTAATAGACTTTTTTCACTTCTACTGAAAATTCCATATTATGATCAATTATAAGCAGAACTAGGCACACAAAGGACTAGCCAAGGTCCTTTTAGCTGTACAACTAAATGCAAGTTGTATTTAACTATACAACTTCCCTTTCACTTTTGTATGTTTGCTGGATCCTTTCTATTGATTCTCAGACAATTTCAATTTTCTTCACTTAAAAAATACCATTGATTCCTTATTTCCCTCAAGTTACCAGGTCTCACATCCTCTCTTTGTGACTAAATTTCTTGAAAGAGTTGCTTAAATCCTGTATCTTGAGAGGTTTTAAAGCATGGACTTTGAAATCACACTGCCTGTGTTCAAATTCCACCTCTACTTCCTAATAACTATGACAGTAAAGAAGTTATGTAACCTCTCTTTGCCTGACTTTTATCACTGGTTAAAAATATATATATGTGTGTGTGTGTGTGTATACACACACATATATATTCATATCTACTTCAGAGGACTATTATGAGTATGAAATAAAATTAATATTTGTAAAGCATTTAGAAAGGTAGTTAGAATAATTATTTCTTTATCTCTCATCTAATCCTCAACCCACTCTGATATGTCTTTTTGCACCATCATTCGTAAATGGCCTCCATGGACGTAAATCCAATGACCACTTTTTAATCTTAATTTTACTTGGCCTCCCAGCAGCATTCAGTACAAATGACTGCTTTTTTTTTTTTTCAACATTCTTTTCCCTTGGATATGGTACACACCATTATGTCTGCCTCTCATTCTCTGGCCCTTGTTTCTCTATCTCCTTTACTAGGTCTTATTTCTCTCTCTGACCAACATATAGTGGGGTTTCACAATGCATTGGCTTAGATCCTTTCTGCTGTATCTCTATATTCTTTCATTTGATGATCTCATTCATACCCATAGCTTTAACAGCTTTAACATCTACTTATTCTCCCCAAATTCTCAAACAGGCTTAGATCCTTTCTGCTGTATCTCTATATTCTTTCATTTGATGATCTCATTCATACCCATTGCTTTAACAGCTTTAACATCTACTTATTCTCCCCAAATTCTCAAACATTTATCTCTAATTTAGATATTTCCTTAGACTTCAGGTCATATATTTAACACCCTACTTCATATTTCCCCCTGGTCCTCTCAGAAACATACCAATAAAACCAAACTTAGAAAATTTCCCTTCCATTCACTCTCTTACCAACTTGATCTTCTATGAGTTAAAGAAGTTTTTCTCCTATAATCCATCTAGTTTGTCACGTCAGACACAGATAAGTGTTTTTGGCACCTCTCTCTTCCTCAACCACTTCTTCAAGATATCACCAAGCCCTACCAATTTTACTTCTGAATAGTTCTCAGATATCTTTCTTTAGTCTACCAACACCACTCAAATGCAAACTTCCCTTGTTCTTCACCTGTCCTAGTCTCTCACCTGTCCTCCCAGTATGGCTCCATTCCAATTTTTCCTCCAAATTGCAGTTTGAGTAATCTTTTCAAAATGCTTAAGGCCTTTTGATGTCTACCTATTGTTTTCAGGATGAAGGTAAAAACCTCAACATGGTCTATAAGGCTTTTAATGATCTCATGTGGTCCAGCCATACTGAGTTTCTTTTGTTAGCTGGGTTTAGCTCTTTGAATTTACCACCACAGTCTTTTGATGTGTTCTCTGGGCTTGGAATGTGCTTCCCTAGGTAAATCTTCTCCAGGTAACTCTTTCCCATTCTTCAGGTCTTGGCTCAAGGAAAACATCTTTAGAAAGATCTTTTCTGACCCCTTTGTACAAGTTATTATGACATTAATAGTGCTCCTGTATAGCATTGTTCATGGTTGCAACTTAATGCTTGGGTGATTATATGTTCAATGTCTTATTCCCACCAGATAATAACCTGTATGAGATCAAGGGAGTCCATTTTTGCTCACAATCTTATCTCTATCACCTTAATATGATGTTTATTGAATAAATAATTGTCAATAATATGCAAACAGTTTCTTACCACACAGTGTGGTTGTTCTGATGAATTGAAAATAACTGGGTTAACTAATTTGCTCCTGCAAAATTAATTTAGTTGTAAGTACAGCATGTTTCATAGGCAAAAAAATAAGAATTTCCTTAAGCCAATCAATAGATATCAAGTGAATAAAATGTAAGAGTGAAAAATAGGTAAGAAACTTTATTTACAGAATGCAATAAAGAATATGGAATTTCAATAAAGTTAACAGTTCTGACTAGGAATTCTTAAGTTTTCCCAAGTGGAATTACCTTACTTCCTGTGTTAAGTAATTGCTGTTTAAAATTAGGTCACTATTAATCATTTCTGGTTACTTCCAATTTTGTCCATCAGGGTCAATTTCTCATAATATTTATGAAGAGAATATTTGAAATTAACAAATCATTTAAAGTTAAATGAAAGTATAGAACCAGTGAGTATGTGGACAGTTCCTTCTTGTGACATAATTTACAAATTGTATATTAGATGACTTGGTAAATACTCCAAGTACACCGTTTCTGCAATTGCGAGTCTCTTTCTCGCAGGCAGTTTTCTAAAATAGGAATCCAGTATTTTGGGGGAAATATTAATGCAGCATTTTTCCTAAAGGCTAACGAAGAGTCAGAGGAAAAAGAGGAACAGATGGCTGAATTTCAGAAACAAAAAGAGGTGTTACTGTCCTTATTTGATGAGAAACGTCATGAACATCTCCTTAGTAAAGGTAGATATTTTTATTCTAAGGATCCCTGGAATGTATGAGTATGAGATTAAAATATAATTTTATAAGACTATCCAGCTTTACTTGGGGGAAATTCAATAAAAATTGATAATTTACTTATGGAAAAAAGAATTGGGTAAATATTATCTATGATAATTCTATGTTAACAGGTTTCTATGCCCAATTTATTTCAAAGACATTAGTAAAATCTTTCATAGCTGTTTCAGATATGAGGAAGTTAACTCACACTCTAAAAGGGGCAGAAATAAAGAGAAATCATTGTAATTATAAATACTATGATAGAGGTAAAAGAAGGAAGGAATAACTACTGTGAAAACAAGTGTGGCTTGGTAGAGGAAATGCTTCCCAGGCCGACCAGGAAAAGCACGCATTTAGATTTTGGTACCACTGATAGAGAGCTATTATTTCCTGACTAATTCATCAGTAATATCAGTACCTTCATTATTTATCTCTTCTCTCTTACCTTTTTAAAACTTTCGTGTCCATTTTGAATTAGAACTTTTATTGTAAAGTATCTCCAAACCTTTCTGAAAATAGGCAGAATAGGCATAAAAATTAATTTTTATAATACCAGTATAAGACACGGTAATACATAAAATTAGTAGTAGATTTTATAAGCTTTAAGGTTGTTAGCCTCACTTTTTTTCTTTGTTTTTTTTTTTTTAAACTTCGGTAAAGAATAGCAAAATATTGTTTTCCTGCAGCTAGGAACAAAGTCTTTCATTATCTCTTCTCTCTTACCTTTTTAAAACTTTCGTGTCCATTTTGAATTAGAACTTTTATTGAAAAGTATCTCCAAACCTTTCTGAAAATAGGCAGAATAGGCATAAAAATTAATTTTTATAGTACCAGTACAAGACACGGTAATACATAAAATTAGTAGTAGATTTTATAAGCTTTAAGGTTGTTAGCCTCACTTTTTTTCTTTGTTTTTTTTTTTTTAACTTCAGTAAAGAATAGCAAAATATTGTTTTCCTGCAGCTAGGAACAAAGTCTTTCATTAGAGTACATGTATGTGATTTTATGTAATTGTTATGCTCCTGAAAGCCAAGTAAACTACTTTTACGTGAATCAGAGAAAAATACTTTCAAATGATGCTTGGAATGAATCTTTTTTAACTTTCTGAAAAGTAATTCATCATACTATTTTACTTGGAAAATATGTTTTATCCTGGAAGTTAAGTATTTTCCATATCAGGTTCTCCTAACATGACATCCAAAGGTTTAGAAAAATTACAGCTTGCATTTTTTTAGTTTGTCTTTTAGAATACAATGTTAAAATAATGTTTTAAATGTAGGTTTCCAAATTCAAGCTAAGGGATAAAAAGTTTAAACTAAAACTTACATTGCTTTCTAAACATATAAACCATTTAATTATTTAAGGTGATGATACCAAATTAATATATGTCCTAAATTACCTAATAAATTAAAATTTGCTATGTATTTTGCAGGTGAAAGACGAATGTCATACAGAGCACTTCAGGGGGCATTGATGATATATTTTTACAGGTAAAAGCAAATAAAAACAGGGGAGGTGAAAGTTAAAATTAAGGAGTGGGGCCGGCCCCATGGCTCACTCAGGAGAGTGCAGCGCTGATAGTGCTAAGGCCACGGGTTCGGATCCTAAATAGGGATGGCTGGTGCACTCACTGACTGAGCGTGGTGCTGACCACACCATGCCGAGGGTTGCGATCCCCTTACCGGTCAAATAAACAAATAAATAAATAAAATTAAGGAGTGAATATGCATAGTATATCACCTATGAGAGCTTATAAATTGCAATCATAGTTTAATATAGTTATTTAGTTATTGGTGAAAACTTAGAAAATAATTATTAGTGATATTTCAAGAGCTTTTTCTTTTTCTCTTAAATAGTAAGGGTATAACTTTATCCCTGTAGCAGATTAATCACATACACAATCAAATTAATCAAATATCCTTTTTTATTAAAATCTGTAAAATATTATGTGATCTTGTGTCCTAACAAGCCAAAGTTTAATCTCAGAAACTCAGTCATGAAAGGTGATTTGTCATTAAACAATGTTGTAGGGTTATTCTTGTTTTATAAAATGAAAATGAATGGATGAAATGAAAACACCTTATTAACTGTTGTTCTATTTATTCAGCAATTTCAAGTAAAGTTGTTTTCAGTGTCTCAAATGTTTGAGGCGTTCCTTAAATGTCCACCTGCTCTTACTCCACGGGGACGAAGTTCCCATCTTCATGGTTCATGAATTAATTTTGTCATAACAATGAATGGCACATAAGCAGAACAGCTTCAAATACCTATAATTTACAGGATGTCATATTTCTGTGTGTTTATTATATTTTTTGAATCCTCTCAAATCTTTCTCCAGAATGGCTACATAAACAAGATCTTTTGAATCTTTCCCTAAACAATAAGAAAATATATGCCAGTCAGGCTTATACGTACTAAGTAGAAATGTACTAAGAAAGCTGAAGAATTTGATGAAAAAAGGGAAAGAATACATTAGAGGAAATAAAAAGCAGTCTTTCTTTTTGTGTTTTAATATCTGCATAAAAGAAGCTTTTCGACCATTGTTAGCTGGGAAATCTTCTAAGATGGTCTATGTGTCTTCCTTCTAATAAGAATCAATGTAGGTATGACTCTGGTCACTTTATGAACATTACATGGAAGATTCTAGACTTCAAACAAACACTGCAAGTAGTACTGCCCCTATCTCTGTGATGAAGAAACTGAGATTGAGAGAGTAATCCAACGGTGTCACAGCACCTAAGAGGCAGAGTTGGCATTTGTTTCCTGAGCGAACTGATTGTAAAACTCATGTTCTTCCTAACACACTGGATTTGCTTGAATAGATTTCTTCTTCCTATTGTTTTTTCCTTTAGGGAAGAACCTAGGTTCCAGATCCCTTTTCAGCTGCTGACTTCTCTCATGGATATAGACACACTCATGACCAAATGGAGATGTAAGTCCTTTCCCCCACCCCCATATTCTTTCTCCCCCCATCCTGTTCCTTTACCCCCTTTCTCCTTCTATAGGTGTTTGAAGCCTTCTCTCCCGTCTCCTTCCTCCTGTGTGTGAGTGAGCTCTTTTATACAAGTCAGCTTGGCAGTTATTCTTTCACAGGGCCAGCTTATCCAGTGTGCCCAAGAAGCACAGTGCCCAAGTGGCACAGTGCCTAGGGCCCACAATACTTTTGGGTGTTGCTCATGAATATGTTTTGATTTATTTTATCAGAAGAAAAAATGAACTTTAGGTCAAAGAAAATGTTTTACTATATAGTAGCAATATATTCATCCTTTGCCAATGCAGATTTGAAATATAATTTTAATAGTTCTTGTTTCTTTTAAATGAAGGAAGGGACTCATAAAGGCAAAAGTGGCGAGGGTTCATGAAGTCACAGCATGGCCCTGCTCTCTCCTATTGTGTGCATGGGCTAAATGTGACGATAGCTGGAGGAAAGTGCATGTAGCCTGCAGTGTCTGCAGCACCCAGTGGGGTGCTAGGCAACCTGACTGGCTCATCTGGCTCTCACACCTCACATGTGAGCCTTCCATATGGCTAAGTGATATGGTGTCATCCTTTCCTCAGAAGCAATAATCATTGCCATCCTTTGTTTTTAGAACATTGTGGAACTAATAGAGTAAATTTGTGTGTTTGCCTAGATAACCACGTGTGCATGGTGCACAGAATGCTGGGCAGCAAAGCTGGTACTGGTGGGTCCTCAGGCTACCAATATCTGCGCTCAACTGTGAGGTAGGTGAGGGAAATCCTCCTTTTCATCTTGGTGTAAGTTACCAGTTCTTTGTTTCTCTCTATATACGTACATTGTCAAGGAAAAGCTATTTATACTGCTGTTGTCTGAACTGCTAACAGCACATTTGTAGTTAGATTATGATATTCCATTGGATCCTTTGGAAATAACCGATAACATTTTTAATCATAGAACTTCATTATTTTGATCCTGTGACAAAAAAGGGCACAGTACTTTTTGTATGACTTGTGAACTGCTAACAGCACATTTGTAGTTAGATTATGATATTCCATTGGATCCTTTGGAAATAACTGATAACATTTTTAATCATAGAACTTCATTATTTTGATCCTGTGACAAAAAAGGGCACGGTACTTTTTGTATGACTTGGTTGTATGACTTGTGAGGCTATGAAAGAGTTAACAGTATCAGGCAGAAAAGTCTTCAACCCATTCTGGCTCAAGTTTTGACTAGATTAAAATTTTTCTCATTAATTCCACTAATGTCTTCTTGGCTAGATGAATGACATAGCTAAAGTAGTTTCTGATTTCCCAATGTGACTCTATTTTACAGTATAAAACTAATTCCATCTGCTCCAAACGGTGCCCTTTTCATAGTGTTTACAAGGAAAGAGGTCAACATTTGTTGAGGGTATAAAACATGCTAGGAAGTTTTCTAAGGCATTTACATTTTTATTTTATTTAATATTCACAGTATTAGATGAATAGATAGATATGCCAGGAAACTGGAAAACTTACATGGTTCCTAGGAAAAGAAGAATCAGCTCAAGACTAAATTAGATACTCACGTTTAGTCCCCCAAATTCTTTAAATGCATTGCTTTTATCCCTACTCTTACTACCAGATTAGCTCATTTATGAAGTACACAGGTTCAAATTTTTATCCTTTTTACACATCTTCACTTTCTCTAGGAATCAATTCTGTAAGCATGAGTTAATGATTGTACACAGTGAGCACGTGTGGTAGGAACAACGACCACAATCAACATTTCTAGTGTGTCCTTATCTCATTGAATCTTCACAAAAGGCCTGGCCAGCGGAAGGGATTATAGCTTTCATTTCACAGAGTTACAAACTGGGGCACTGAGGTTTAAACAACTTGTCCAAGATCCCACAGGTTGTAGGTGACAGAACAAGGATTTGAACCCAGATTTATTTGACTTTAAAGGCAAAAATGTTCTTCCTCTATAAAACTTCAATAGTTAAAATAGTTGATGAATAAACACAAAAGCAATTTTAATGTTAAAACCACTTTTATAGACACTTATTATGACTCTAAGATGGTATTCCAATTTACTAATCCTTTCATGGCAGTTGCTTGCAGCTACTTTGCAGTTGGAAAATATATTTCAATGAGTCACTAAAAACTCATGTGCCTTAAATATATTACTTTGCATACCATCCTTTAGAAGTAGGAAATGAGAGCACACCTTTGTCATTATAAAGGTAGTATGACAAGAATAAGACTCTGGATTTTTATCCGGACCAACCAAAACACAAAATACTGTTTTATGGGCATAAACTTTGAATAGGAAATAAAAACTAAGCAGTCTTAAAGCTCATACTACATCATATCCAATATAATATGTATATACGATACAACATATAATATATAAAGTAATATAATTGTAATATTGAATACTAATTATTTATGGAGAATATTATCTGGTAAATGAAATTGGTATGGAAAATTTTAAATATTTCACGTTAACAAATCTAAAACATCGGCATAAATGTGTTTCTCCAGTGACAGGTACAAGGTGTTTGTAGATTTATTTAACCTTTCAACATATCTGGTTCCCCGACACTGGATACCGAAGATGAACCCCATCATTCACAAATTCCTTTACACGGCTGAATACTGCGATAGCTCCTACTTCAGCAGTGATGAATCAGAATAAAATCATCTGCGAAATCTATGAAGAACATTGATTTCTCAGTCTGTTTTTGATTTTCTATGAATTTTCATGAATATACAAAGAATCTTAATGTAATGTATGTACATACATAGTTCAGTCCTGTGTTGTTCTGACTCAATTCTGAAAATAATTTTATTACCTTTTATGATGTTTAAGATGATATCAGATTAAGCATTATGATGAGAAATAACTATTAAATCTTAACATTGTACATTAGGTATTTTCCTATTAAAAATCAAATTTCCTCTGATACTTACCTTAATGTAGCTACTTAATGTAATCATTATCTCATTGTTTCATAATTTATAAGCTTGTAAACTTCACTTATTTCAAATATTTTATACAATAAAACATGTCATTCTGCACAGACTTAATTAAACAAAATTTTTTAAATAGTAAAATTTGTCTTTTGCCGTGTATTGTTTTTGAAACATTATTTGTATTTGTTAGGAATCTTGATGTCCAATGACAGAAATCTATTTGAATCTTGATTAGAGGGGATTTACTGGATAATTACTCCATTAGCTCATAGAATTCAAAGAAGCATTGTCCAACAAACCTTAAAAGAGAGCCCAGGGAACTCTGATGCCACAGGCACTGGATCCAATTCCTGGAATAATATATTTCTGGGAAACTATGAGGATCCTTTTTGTCTCATCTCTTCTTCTCTGTAGGTGTTAACGTTATTCTTTCCTGTCATAGACCAGTTCCTTCCTCTGGCTGGGCCCCAGCTTCCAGAACCTTTGGGCTCACAGAAGGGCAAAGGTGCTCTTTTTCCCAGTTTTAATGCTTGTGGTCTCAGAGGTAGAGTCAACTTTACTGCATGGCAGAATTGAGGTAGGAACAAGTTAACAGTTCCCTCAAAGAAGGACAGTCTTTCCAGAAGAAGGGACAGGTAAACAGACTAACAGCGATCCACTTCACGTCAACTTTACTGCATGGCAGAATTGAGGTAGGAACAAGTTAACAGTTCCCTCAAAGAAGGATAGTCTTTCCAGAAGAAGGGACAGGTAAACAGACTAACAGCGATCCACTTCACTTCTAATTAAAAGTATTAGACTAAGAGTTTAGATCAGACATGAGTTTTATTCTTCTTTTTCTAGTTTGGCCAGGATATTGGTAATACTTAGTTAAGCTTCTTTTAAGGGAGGGAATACATAATATTATCAAATGAATCTAAAGAGTACATCAACCTTGACCTAGAGTGATTATAGCTAGCAAGCAGTAAGTTCTTGATTTTAATTACAAGCTTTTTCTGATAAGAATCATATCATCTAGTTTGTCTCTAAATTACATATAATTGTTCTTGCCTACATCACTTTTGTGTGTTTGTTTGTGTGTGTATACAGAGTACAAGATGGTGGTTAAGCTGAAAAAGTACAGAGGCAAACAGCATGGTGTCTAAAGACACTAGCTTTGAAATCAGCAAGCTTGAGAGCAAATTTTGACTCTGTCATTTATTAAACAATCCACTCTGTTACAAACACAATTGAAGCCCCAGTTTCCTATCTATGTGGGGATAAAAGAACTTCTTTTATAATCTTTGCTTTTTCTCATAAATAATGAAGAAATATGTTCATAGCTGTTTTGCCACCAAAATCTTTTGGAATCTTGGAGTAAATGCTATTTCTCAAGGTTTATCCCTCTTTTAGAATGCAGAGTGATTGGACTTGGTTCTTCACATCTATATTTCTTAGTGTGACTAAGCTATTAGTTGCAAGAGTTTTTTTCAAAGAATATATCAGTAATTCTTAATGTAAATACCAAAACAGTTTATAATGCCAGTTCCTACCCTTGCCCCATTCAAACTTGCTTCTAGTGTTGAGGATCCACTTTAAATTATAATTCTTAAGTGGGATAAAAATCACTGTAAGGTTGACTAATTTCGCATTCATGTTGAGATTTTTGAAAACCCACATCCAGGAACATGTTGATGATTTTCATTATGACTCTCAATTATTATGTGAAGATTTCATAACTTTCTCTAAGCCTTACTGGGTGAAGTCTAAGTAGTTTGCTATGGCTGGAGCACATCATCTGCCTGTGTAGCGCAGAAGCAACTATGGTTGAGAAGGCAGATAGGAACATGTTGATGATTTTCATTATGACTCTCAATTATTATGTGAAGATTTCATAACTTTCCCTAAGCCTTACTGGGTGAAGTCTAAGTAGTTTGCTATGGCTGGAGCACATCATCTGCCTGTGTAGCGCAGAAGCAACTATGGTTGAGAAGGCAGATAGGAACTTCTTCATGAAGGCTCATTTAAAAGAGTTTGCATATTATTTTAGAGGCACTGGGGAGTCCCTAAATGGTTAAAAGACAAAACAAAACAGAGGAATGACATGATAACTTTTAACTTTTAAAACTTTTAACTTTTATTAACTTTTAGAAATGTAAATCCAGGGGATATGTAGTAAATGTATTATAGTAGCATCCTTCATAATCACCTGACCTCTGGTCTGCAGATTATACTTTAAGAACCTCTAGATTAAGGGACATGGAGTTTAGTGAGTAGACTACTGGATAGTGGTGGTAAGAGATATTTAAGAATATGCGTGTAAGAAAGGACAGTAGAAGTGGAGAGGAGGTAGGTGATTAAGTGATGGGTTACCAAGGTATTTTTGACCTGATTAAATACCTAGAATTTCCCTTAATTCTATTGATTGAGTGATTACATGTTGATGCTGTTAACCAAAATAGAGATTCTAGGACATGAAGGAGCTTTTGGGGGGCTGGTGGTGAGGTAGGATGATAAATGCAATATTGGAGACATTGAGATTAAAGTGTCCTATGGAGAAAACCAAAAATTGGATGTATGGATTAGGAGCTGAGAAAAATCTGGGTGGCTGTTAAGCACACTAATGCTGTGTTAACAAAATGTAAGCCATACTCTCAAGGAAAGGTTCTTTTTAACCCAAAACCAAACACAGGTTGTTTTATTATAAATGTCATCAAAATCCAGAACACCTGAGAGGTATTATTTTGAGATTTTAAAAATCCTTTAGTGTTTAGAACAAAATATTAGAAAAATATTTATATCATATAGAAAGTTAGTAACTGAACACAAACTAGAATAATCAGGACATAGTTCCTTTCTGGCATATTTGGATAATTAGAATATTTATTAAAATGTCACATTCATCATCCTGGAATATTTCTAAACCTGAGTCAACACATATTTTTTTGAGATTGCTTCTGGTTGATGTAAAAAAAGAAATACATCATTTTGTTTTTGATTTCCTTTTTCCAATAAGGTGGATGAATTAATAAAGACCAAACATGAGAGGAAAAATGGAATGTCCTTGGATATTTTAGTGGTCTTTGCTGCATTTAAATTTTCATCTTTGTTAAGATATTCTACATTAGAAAGCAGTCACGAAATTGAGAAAAACATACATACGTAATATCTGATATGATTTTCTTATATTAACTCATTTAGTATAGTTGTGTTTACATGCAAACAGAAGTTCAACTCATTTGCTCTGAGGTTCTCACACAGCCACACAAGAAGTGGCTTGTTTCTCAGTTGCAGGATATAAGCAGCACATAGTGTCCTTTCTACGCACACAGGGTTATTGATCTCTGCTGAGGATACAAGTTAATCAGAGCTGCAATAGTGCCTCAGTACTTGAAACTACTTACGCCATTAATGAGGCAAGAGAAATCATAGGCATCAAGACGGGGAACCAAGTAAAAGCCAAAGCAATGCACACAGAAGCAGTCGGGATGGAGACTGGAAAAACTAAGCAGATAACTTAAACAGAGTCTGGGAAAATCACATTGGGGCTGATATCCTAGGTTAAGAGATTGGAGTTTGAAAGGAGGGTTCCTACACATCATGGGAGGAAGAAAGACTCAAGGTTCTGATGTTGATAAAGGGCTTAGAAACAAAGGGAGCCAAGTGATTAGAAAATAGAAATGGAAAGTAAACCATCAGACTTAGTTTTTTAGTCAGGAAAGCCAAACTCAGGAAAACTTAGGAGTTACAAAGTAAAGAGTAAGAGAAGGAGAGTGACAAAATGTGGGAAAATAGTGTATTCTCTAACATAGGAAGAACAAAGTAAGAAGTAATATCTATTGAATTCCTCCAGACAATGAAAATGTCCAAATAATAACTTGTCTTGCTGGAATGCTACTTGAGATTTATTATTGCATAGTTGCCATACTGGTTATTTCATTTCAGTCAATTTAACCATTTCTTTTGAAAAGAGGTTTTGCCCTTTTGTTTCCTTTTGCATTGTTCAAAGAGCAAGCATCATTTGTTGAGGTAAAGCAATTGGTATTTCAAACTCTTATCATACACCATCTCAAATGGCTGCTAATATAATTGCTCAAGGCACATATAATTTAAGGTTAGCCATTCTTGTATATTGGGGTAATCTAAGGTTAATGATTACATTCTACAAAGGAAAATAAATTCTTATCACTTCATTAATCCTACCTAAATTTTCTCAATAAGAACAAACAACAAAAACAATAAGCAAACAAAAACAATCAATAGCTTCTTCAAATGGAAAGGGACCTAAAATATCTCCTAATCTGACTTTCCTCCCAGAGTAGGCAACTGTTCCATAGATTTCACTGCAGGCTGGGGTGCTGGGGCTTTGGCTGTCCATCCTCTTATAAGAAGGGAACATTACACGACTTAGTTTAAATAGTATTACTAGGTTGTAGAACCTTTTCTAGGTAGTGCTGAAGCTTGAATTGAATAATGCTTAGAATGAAGTACTATGTTACAATGCATTATGAAAACCTTCATTTTTGTAGCTGTTTCCTGATCTGCCCAACGTATCACACAAAGACAGCAGAAACGGAATCTGCAATACCTAAGGAAAAAACATTTTTAGTATGAGTCTATTTCCTCTTTAGATGCCTTTTAAGTAGAAAATTAAAACTTAATTTTCATTTTGTTTCAGAAAGTGTTAGTATCTACTAAGAAAATAACTTAATGGTTATTGCTACCTGTCAGTATAAAGATGGCAACCTCAAAAGCAAATATTAGAAGAGATGATGCCTGACATTTTTGTTTATAAAAAATGTCTTATTCTGGTGATAGAACAGGTCACTCGCATGGGTTCTACTTTATGGAAAGATTGAACAATAGTCACTAGAGTGAATCAGTACAAAGTCATAGTTTTCTTTAACTCTCTTTTATCAGTCTCACAATCTGGAAGGTTCTGCAATTTCTAAAAAGTTGTCCATATGTTAGAACTGATTGTAACAAGAAATTAGTTGTTCTCATATGCAATTTAATTTGGGTCTAGCTTGATTCAGAAAATTTGTTGATTTTATTGATCAAAAGTTTTAGAATATAGATTTGAATACAGATTTTAGAATACAGTTTAAAATACTTAACTAGCTATGTTAGTTTGGCTTGTGGTTAATTTTTTAAAAATACGTTATTCAGTAAAAACAGCATTCTTGCTGTTTGCCTAACCCTCTCAATTTCAGTGGATATTTTGCTAGAATTTTATAGGTAAAAAGTGGCATATTAAGTGACAAAAAATGTTGATGCTCAGATTTTCATATATTTTGATACAAAGAAAAACTGGTTCTTCATAATAATTGAGCAAGTTTTATAATACACAAATTAAGACAAATTTTATACATTCACAAGGAGATATTTCGGGGGAAATTCAGCCTCTGTAGTTGAGTGTTAATCTGATTTTTGAAGTAGATAACTTTGGTAAAATATTACTTTATCTTATGTTTTAATATATATATGTCATATATATAGTTACTTTTTACTACAGTCCCTCTTCCTTTTTAAAATGTGAATATGTGCTATAATGCCTCTTTTTAAAACACTCTTTTATTTTTATCAATTGGTTAAAGCATGGAAATTATTACTACAAAAGTGATTTGAGCACATTGGAAGCATACTATAAACTGGACAGGTTTGTAATTTTAATATATTCAAATAATTTTCCTTGATATTTATCCTGGAGTTTTAAACACAAATTCATGACTTACCACAAACATTACTTCCCAGTTTAACATGGGCATAGCCATCTACTCCCCATAAACGTCCCCATGAGTTTCGCACAATCCAGTATGGAATAATTCCTACAAAACATAAAATGGTGACAAACGCTGACAAACTATATTTGTTACAGATGCATAATTTTTTAATTTAAAGTTGGATTCTTGATAAGTACAGTAGGTGTGAGGAAAAAAACTATAAATGAACTGTAACACTAACTTAAACTAGCTAGGTAAACTTGAGCTATAACTAGTATCACACTCCAATCAATAGAAATATATGTTTAAATTCATTCTGTTTAATACAGAAACTGCATAAAATGAAAACAAGCATACATTTCTGGGAAATTAACAAAAGAAAAAAAAATTGTTAAATATGTATGGTAAAGTAATAAGCACTTCTCTTTACCCAGCAATTATCCTAAATATTCCAGATAAGAATGCACAATATTTAAATCAAGAATTGCCATCATTTTAACAAGGTAGTTGCCAAAAAATTAACAGGTGGAACCAGACGTGATATTTACACCTGGAAGATTACTGAGAAGATTTCATAAGGGCTCAGACCTAGCAGAATCAATTTATTTTTTCTGTGTTTTAAATTACAACTTAAAAAAAATTTTTCCAGTTCATTTTTTAATTGAAACATAATTGATTACACATATTATGGGGTACAGAGTTGATGATCAGTATTTGTGTACAATATGTGATGATCAAATCAGTGTTGTTATTATTCTCCTCCTTTCCCACCTCTAGTAACCATAGGTCTGTTCTTTCCTTCTGGAAGTTCAATGTATTATTTTGGTATCTCTCTCTGTCCCTCCCTTTCTCTCTCTGTCTGTTCTCATTTATGAGTGAAGATATATGATATTTCTCTCTCTTTTCCTGCCTTATTTCACTTAACAAAATTTTGTCCAAGCTTATCCATGTTCCTGCAAATGGCAGAATTTCATTCTTTTTTTATGGCTAGGTAATATGCCGTTGCATGTATACAACATTTTCCTTATCCAGTTGGATATATGATATTTCTCTCTCTTTTCCTGCCTTATTTCACTTAACAAAATTTTGTCCAAGCTCATCCATGTTCCTGCAAATGGCAGAATTTCATTCTTTTTTTATGGCTAGGTAATATGCCGTTGCATATATACAACATTTTCCTTATCCAGTTGTGTGTTGATGGACACTTACTTGGTTGCATATCTTGGCTACTGTAAATACAGCTATGAGATGAACATGGGAGTTCAGGTATCCCTTCAACATGATGATTTTGATTCCTTTTGGTATATACTCAGAAATGGGGTTGCAGGAATTCATGGTAGTTCTATTATAGTTGTTTAAGAGGCATCCACACTGTTTTCCATAATGGTTTCCCTGATTTACAGTCCACCAAGAGTGTAGAAGAGTTTCCCTTTTTCCACATCCTCGCTAGCATTTGTGATTCTCTGTTTTTTTGGCAATAGCCAGTCTAACTGAAGTGAGATAATATCTCCGTGTGTTTTTGATTTGCATTTCCCTGATGATTAGTAATACTGACCATTTTTTCATGTGTCTGCTGGCCATTTGTATACCTTCATTTTGGAAATGTTTAATTAGCTACTTTGCCCAATTTTTAATTGGATTTTTTTGTTTTCTTTTTTTACTGTTAAGTTGTTTGAGTTCCTTGTTTACTCTGGATATTAACCCATTATCAGATGTATAGTTTGCAAATATTTTCTCCCATTCTGTAGATTGTCTTTTCACTCTGTTGATTGTTTCCTTTGCTGTGCAGAAGCTTTTTAGTGTGATCTACTCCCATTTGTTTATTTTTTCTTTTCTTGGTGTGCTTTTGGGGTCTTATTCATAAAGTCTTTGCCCAGACCTACATCCTGAAGTGTTTCCCCTATGTTTTCTTCTAGCAGTTTTATAGTTTCAGGTCTTATACTTAAGTCTTTAATCGATTTTGAGTTGATTTTGATATATGGTGAGAGGCATGGGTCTAGTTTCATTCTTCTACACATAGATATCCAGTTTTCCCAGCACCATTTGCAGAAGAGTCTGTCCTTTCCCTACTGTAGGTTCTTGGTGCCTTTCTCAAAGATTAGTTGGCTGTAAGTACCTGGGTTGATTTCCAGGTTCTCTATTCTGTTCCATTAGTCCTTGTGCCCTTTTTTATGCCAGTACCATGATGTTTTGATTACTATAGCTTTGTAGCATAGTTTGATGTCAGGTAGTATAATAACTACAGCTTTATTTTTTTTTCTCAGGATCTCTTTGGCTATTTTTGGTCTTTTGCTATTCCATATGAATTTAAGGATTATTTTTTTCTAGTTCTGAGAAGAATGTCACTGGTATTTTGATGGGAATTGCATTGAATCTGTAGATCACTTTGGGAAGTATGGACATTTTCATGATATTAATTCTTCCAATCCATGAACATGGAATGTCTTTCCATCTTTTGATGTCCTCTTTAATTTCTTTCAGCAGTGTTTTGTAGTTCTCATTGCAGAGATATTTTACCTCTTTGGTTACATTTATTTCTGGTATGGTATTTTGTTCTTTTGGTGGCTATGGTAAATGAGCTTGCTTTCTTGATTTCTTTTTCTGCTTGTTTATTCCTGGAGTTTAAGAATGCTACTGATTTGTTTGTATTGATTTTTTATCCTGAAACTTTACTGAATTTGTTATTGAGTTCTAGAACCAGCAGTATAAAGAATCTCTGAACTAGAAGACAAGGTTTTGAATTAACATTGTTGGACCAAAATAGAAAAAGAAAAAATAATTGAAAAAAATGAAGGAAACCTATGAAATCTTTCTGATAACTGTAAGCATATGAACATCCATATTATGTTTGTCTTATGTAACATGATTATTCCAGGGAAAGGAAAAGGAAAAGGCATTAAAAACATGTTTAATGAAATAATAGCTGAAAACTTCTCAAATATTGGGAGAGATACAGTCTTACAGATCCAAAAAGCTCAAAGATCCCCAAACAGATTCAACCCAAAAAGTACCTCCTCAAGAAATATTATAATCAAATTATCAAGAGTCAAAGACAAAGAAAGAATTCTAAAAACAGCAAGAAAAAAGCATCAAATTACCTATAAGGCAATCCCCATCAGGCTAACATCAGACTTCTCATCACAAACTCTACAGGCCAGGAAAGAGTGGATCAACATATTCAAAGTGCTAAAAGAAAAAAAAACCTGTCAACCAAGAATAATATATCCAGCAAAGCTTTCCTTCAGAAATAAAGGAGGAATAGTATCTTTCCCATACAAACAAAACCTGTGGGAATTCACCACCATAAGACCAGCCTTTCAACAAATCCACAATGAGGTCCTACATCTGGAATCAAAAAAGAGATATGTATCACCATAAATATATGAGAAAAATAAAACCATTACTAGAACAGACATGCAAATGAGAAAGGAAACGAAAATATATTTTATTACTACAAAAAACACCCAACAGAAAAGATAAACAATGAAAGGGAAAGAAATAAGCATAAGAAATATAAAACAACCAAGAGAAGTTAATAAAATGGCAGGAATAAGGTGATAACTTTCAGTAACAACCCTGAATATAAATGGACTAAATTCACCACTTAAAAGATATAGACTGGCTGAATAGATTATAAAACTAGACCCAACTACATATTGCCTGCAAGAAACTCACCTCACCAGTAAAGACACACATAGACTAACAGTGAAGGAATGGAAAAAGACATTCCATGCAAATGGAAACCAAAAGTGAGCACAAGTTGCCATACTTTTATCAGACAAAATAGACTTCAAACCAAGATCTATAAAAACAGACAAAGAAGGACACTATATAATGATAAAAGGATCAATGCAACAAGAACATATAACAATTATAAGTATTTATGCACCCAATATCAGAGCACCCAGATATATAAAGCAACTCTTACTAGACCTAAGAGGAGAGATAGTAAAAATTGGGGACTTCAACACACCACTCTCAGTATTGGACAGATCATCTAGACAAAGAATCAGCAGACAAATATTGGATTTAAACAGTACCTTAGACCAAATGGACTTGACAGACATATATAGAACATTTCATCCAACAATGACAGAATATACATTTTTCTCATCAGCACACAGATCAAAGAAATAGAGACCAAAAGAATGACACACAAAAAAATCAATGAAACAAAAAGTTGTTTTTCTGAGAAGATAAACAAAATAGACAAGACTTTGGCCGGACTAACTATAAAAAGGAGACGATCCAAATAAGAAAAATGAGAAATGAAAAAGAAGACATTACAACCAATACCACAGAAGTACAAAGAATCATCAGAGACCATTATAAACAATTACGTGCCAGCAAATTTGAAAATATGAAGGAAATGGGTAAATTTCTGAACACATACAAACAAGACTGAACCAAGAAGAAATAGAAAACCTGAACAGACCAATAACAAGCAATAAGATTACACAGTAATCAGCAGTCTCCCAACAAAGAAAAGGCCAAGACCAGATGGCTTCACCAAATCTTTAAAGAGCAATTAATAGCAATCCTTTTCAAATGTTTCCAAAAAATTGAAACAGAAGCCATCCTGCCAAACTCATTCTATGAAGCCAGCATCACCCTGATACCAAAATCAGACAAAGACACAACAAAAAGAGAAAACTACAGGCCAATATCTTTGATGAACTTAGGTGCAAAAATCTTCAACAAGATATTAGCAAATGAAATACAACAGCAAATTTGAAAGATTATACACCATGATAAAGTGAGATTCATCCCAGGGATGTAAGGATGGTTCAACATTCACAAATCAATAAATGTGACACACCACGTCAACAAAAGCAAAGACAAAACCCATATGATTATCTCAATAGATGCAGAAACAGCATTTGACAAAATTCAGCATCCCTTCATGATAAAGACCTTCAACAAATTAGGTATACAAGGAAAGTATCTCAGTACAATAAAAGCCATATATAACAAACCCACTGGCAACATCATCCTGAATGGGAAAAAATAGAAAACTTTTCCTTTAAGAACAGGAATAAGACAAGGATGTCCACTTTCAATACTCCTATTCAACATAGTACTGTAAGTATTAATCAGAGCAATCAGGCAAGAGAAAGAAATAAAGGACATCCAAATTGTTAAAGACAAAGTCAAACTGTCACTGTTTGTGGATGACATGCTCTTATATACAGAAAAAAACCCATAACCTCTATCAAAAAACTACTAGAGCTCAGAAGCAAATTTTAACATTACACAGGTTGGTAATCATTTGGAAATCTGAGTTCAAGCTGGAATGAAATCATCTGAGTCTTATCAGCACATACCTGTTTTATCAAACCCAGTTATGAGAACAGCATGATTTGCTTCTCCACTAGAACAGTGATGCTGTATTATGCCTCCCAGATAATCTTGCCAGCTTACTGCATCTACTGTCACTACCAAAGGGCCAAAGGTAAGAAGTGCTTTTGCCATTTCATCTTCTTGGTTACTACCAAAAGAAAAAAAAACGGTTTAAGGAGATTAGTTATTAGGTAAAAATAAAAATAATCTAATCTGTCCATGGTTAGGAGTAGGTTTGGATGCAATTACAAAAGACATAAATAATAGAGGCTAAAAGAAGTCTGGGATATTGGCAATACAAGACTGGTGTGGGGCTCCAGGATGTCAGGAACCCAGGCTCTTTCTCTATTATATTTTGGTTATATGAAGTTTCCATTCTCAAGGTCTGTTCATGGTCCAAGACCGCTGCTGGAGCTCCAGCCATCTAACACATATATCCATAACTGCATGGAGTACCCTTGCATATGCATGGATCTCACTGGCTAGAACTCAGTTATGTGGCTAAGCTTAGCTTAAAGAAATGCACGGAAGAAATGGGGAATGGAGTTTTGCAGCTGGCTGGCAAAGCATCCAGTTAAAATACAGAGATTCTTTTGATTAAAAATAAAACAGAAAAACTGTGTATTCGGAAATATCTTGTCATCTCTGCTATGCCATGTGAAAATTAAGAGATTAACCAATCTATGTTAGTGACTGTAAAATATAAAAATTATAGGAAAGGGTTAGCCAAAAGTGACTAATATAACTATACCATAGAAGAAATGTTTAAAAAGTAAAAAAAAAAAAAGAAATGTTAAGCTACCAAGAGAACTAGATGCTAGATAGTGAAGACTGCAAAAGACATAATTATTGCTTTCACACATGGGCATCTACTAATAAAGTCTTATGTTGTGCAACATTTGGCCTTCATGTCTTAAAAGTATGTGATCAAACCATTATTTACATTTTCAAAGGTCAGCCTTGTGAGTGAAGTACACTGAAACCAAGTTACTGGTAGTTCAGGCCATTAAGAAAGCTTTTGGTAGTTTATTGCTGCAGCAAGCCATGAGTGGATTAGTTGCTTGAAAGAGTCAATAATCCATCATAATGCCCAGATGGAGACCAGTTTCTAGAAATGGGATAGTCTGTCCACAAATGAGGAAAAAATTAAACACACAACAAGAGAATTTTTTAAAATAGAAACTATACATTTACTCATTTTACTTATTACTGTGATCCTTTCTTTTTGGTGATCTATAAGCAGGCATTTCTAATTTTTGTTACTGTAATAATAATAATAGTAGCCTGATATAGGCAAAATTATAAAAGTTTTAAAAAGGCATCATAAGCATCACAATAGTGTAAAGGCTTTGAATTACCCAATACCTGAGTTTGAATTCCAGTTGTACATTGGAGTCATTCCACTTACCATGCAGAATCAATATAAAGATAAAATTATAGGTATGAATTATGTATCATGCCTACCATATGAGTTATACTCTAAGTTTAACATAAAAAATGTTTCCTTCCCTCATTTATGTCATATAATAACTAATTTTGCTCAGCATAGGTTTTAGTGTATAAAATATATTTTATTGTACTAAAGTTATTTGATTATCTTGTAATTTAAACATGATATATATGATAATCTCTGTATTAACCAGAACACAGCTGTTTCCATCTACAGAAAACAAAAGATACCCTGTAAATACATCACATCAAAGGTCCAATTACAGGAACAACATGAGAGAAGAAGAAAGATCAAGAAGGAAATATAGTTTTTAGAATGTAAAGGGTTATTAACATTGTAGGATGAAAGAAACAATTTAGTAATAATCCTTGTTTTGACCCAGAGCTGAAGAAAAGACAAGATATTAGAAAATAATAGGATGAAATGCAACAGTCGTTACCAGAGGATAATGTTGCATTTGGCCCCAGAACTGAGTGTCACTGTTATCAGTTGTCTTTCAGAAAGATGTTGGCTTTTAGCAAGTTGAAATATACTCCAGACAGTATCTTTATTTCCATTGTTAGCTCAATATAGGACTACTACCAAAATGTACAATGTCGAAAATGGATACGTTATCAAACCTTTGTTCCATTAACTCACTATTTAGTTCACAGATCAAACATTTACAAAACCTGTAATTTCAAATAATTCCTTTAAATTTCATTGTCATCAAGATTTGGTGACTAAGGCAATTCTGTCATGTCACTGACACTTAATGATTATGTATATTTCCATCTCATCTTCCCTGGAATTCAGTATGTCATATTCTGTCCTAATTTTTGATCCATCATTATAGGTAGTAGGTTCCTTCCCTTTTTGTTTATTTAAATAGTCATGTTCTTATTTTAGTTTGAGTTCTGAAATGTCTTTTCTGTGGTCTGATGAGCAAAAATTCATGAAGAAGCCTGGGTGTGAATGGTCATTTTGCTTTAAGACTAGATTATGCTATTATGTTTTAGTGTATTTGTTTTCTTCTTAGATTTTTTCAGGCACTACACAATGTTTTATGGAGTTTTGGGCTGATAGCTGTGCCCTGGGCTGACATTGCCTAAGAACAGCAGAACTAAGAGCATGACCTTAAGGATAGAGGGAGGGTAAGAAGTACGAGCTGCAGTGTTGGACAGATTTGAGTTCCAATCCAGCTCTACAGTGTACTAGCTGTGTGATTCTCCCTGAGTCTCAGACACCCACCTCAGATGGAAACGGTGATGCTGAAGAGCCAGGGGCTGGGGCAATGCCCAGTCATAGCAGATGCTTTGGAAGACCTTCCCACATCTTCTGGCCCTCACCACTTCAAGGCATGCCAGCCCGGCTTGCAACAGTGAGAAACTGCAGCTCTTTGCCTGAGGCCTTTCTCTTGTAGAGCCAGGGAATCAGGCTCACTCCCCACCTCTACCGCAGCTGCACTGTCAGCTAATGAATCAGGAGAGAGGATGCTCATCAGCTCGACTGGGATGGCAGTGAAGTGCATATTATACCCTTGTCCCAGAGTTCCCAGTAGGATTAAGCACCAAGTTACCCGCAGTACTGACTGGCTTAATAGAGAAACTCTGCTAGCCTCATTCTGTCTCATTTCCCCATTCCCCCAAAACCGTTTCCTGGGATCACTTTCTACATGTTCCAACTGAACTCGATATTTACTTCTAAATCTATTCCTGTCCTTGACTTTCACATCTCATTAATGGTAATTCCATTGTTTCATTTAGACTCAAAAGCCCGGAATATTCCTTGCCTCCCTTCTTCCTTATCTCCCATAAAAAAACTGTGTAGGGCTTTACCCTCCGTGAGGGGTATTAATCTATTGTCTCTCATCTCCAAGACCGTTCTTACAATATCCTGCTCTAAGGTTGTTCCTTGGTAACCAATCTGACCTCGTCTCCAACTAGTCTTGTCATTTTTCTCTCCACTACAGTCACACTGGCTTCTTCATTGTTTTTCAAACATGCCAAACATGTCTCTGCCTCAGAACCTTTGTATTTACAGTTCCCTCTGCTTGGAACAGTATTTCTTCAGATACCTGCATGATTAAGTTTCCTCACTTCTTCAAGTCTTCACTCAAATATCACCTTCTCAGTAAGGCCCTCCCTGGCAACCCTTTCTAAAATTGTATACTCCCTTTCCTTCCAGATGTTTCCTCTTCTTTCTACTGTTTTTTTTTTTTTCTAAAATTGTATACTCCCTTTCCTTCCAGATGTTTCCTCTTCTTTCTACTGTTTTTTTTGTTGTTGTTGTTGTCCCTTTCCTTCCAGATGTTTCCTCTTCTTTCTACTGTTTTTTTTTTTTGTTGTTGTTGTTGTTCTCTTTATAAATTATGACATCTAACATGCCATATATATTTATTTGTTTTGTTTATTGCCTGTCTTAATCACTAACATATAGTCCATGAGGGCAGGGTTTTTGCCTGTTTTGTTCACTGCCAAATCCTCAAAACCTAAATAAATTCAGTAAATTTTTAAATGAATAGATAAATCAAAGAAATATTTTCTTGCAGTTTAATGCAATCAGCTTATCCTTGTACTATCAGAGGGTTTAATGTTCAATGTAAACATTGAGATTTTTATTAGGACCTCTTCCTACTTAACTAAAGGCCCAATGCCCCAAACACTTGCACTAGCGTTATCTCTCTCTCTCTCTCTTCCCCTCTAATTCAGACTAATGCCTATTATTCTTTCCTTCTTCCTAATTTTATTCAACTTGCTCCCCATGACAAGGGATTTCCTAAATACTTTTTAATAACATTTTGAAAATCTACTTCCTTCTGGTGTACACCCTTCCCTTATATGAGGGGAGTTCAAACAGTTCATGGAAAAATAGAATTAAAAGATAATATGAATCTTTCCATGAACTTTTTGAAGGACTCCCGTACTCTCAAGGAACTGATTGCTTAAAGAGGCACAATTCATCTCCTAAAGGAGTTGCTGACCAATGTATTCAGCGACCCCATGCATTTTATTATAAATCCTTTGAAGCTTGCCAGCTACAGACAGCTTTTGTATTTTTCATGTGCTTTTAAAACATTTTTCAATGATTGTTTTACTTACACAAAGTTATCCTGACCTTCAATTTCCAACACAAGTCCTTTTCCTCAGCCTATGTTTAACTACCCCTGCATTCCCATCATGCTTATGGTGTGTGCTACATAAGTTATTTTTAGTAGTATACTCTTGATAAAGTTTTGGCTTATGTTTCCCTTATAGGTTGTGTCTTGAAGAATGCAAGGAACACAGGATGTTCAAGAATTGCTTCTTGGTATGTAGGCTGCTTGATATTAATTGCAGAGTCTATAGAAAGCAATTTTGGATTGACTCATCAGTAAAATTGAAATGCACTAATGATAATATAATTCCTAAATTTGGAAGGTGGGGTAAATATAAATTATACCTTATCGGATTTAAATTTCTTAATCTAAATTTTTTATTTCTATGGAAATGACACAGAAAAAAACTAGTAGATTATATTTAAGAAACAACATCTGTAACACTCTTTGTGATTGCTAATTAGTCTCCCTAATAAAAAACAGATTTTAAAACAAGTAAGGGTACATAGCGATGCCTTCAATCAAGTGATTAATTTTGAATAGTGAATAGATGATAAATCAAGAATATATACAGAAAAACACAATAGAATAAGATATTTACCTGAAGTCATATGCAGAATAACCTTTAATTGAAAATTCAGATTGTGAATCAGAAAAGTAATGGCACAGGCCATTTTGAGCTTTAAATGGGTATTCTGAATCTTTCACCAGTTNATTTTTCATGTGCTTTTAAAACATTTTTCAATGATTGTTTTACTTACACAAAGTTATCCTGCTCTTCAATTTCCAACACAAGTCCTTTTCCTCAGCCTATGTTTAACTACCCCTGCATTCCCATCATGCTTATGGTGCGTGCGACATAAGTTACTTTTAGTAGTATACTCTTGATAAAGTTTTGGCTTATGTTTTTCTTATAGGTTGTGTCTTGAAAAATGCAAGGAACACAGGATGTTCAAGAATTGCTTCTTGGTATGTAGGCTGCTTGATATTAATTGCAGAGTCTATAGAAAGCAATTTTGGATTGACTCATCAGTAAAATTGAAATGCACTAATGATACTATAATTCCTAAATTTGGAAGGTGGTAAATATAAATTATACCTTATCGGATTTAAATTTCTTAATCTAAATTTTTTATTTCTAT